TGTGATTATGACTGATACTGTGCTGGGTTGACCATGGGATGTGTTCTTGGTTGCCTTTGTGTTTGATGGCAAGTCTTCATGGAGTTGGGCCTGTACTTATTGCGGTATATGCCCTGGTCAAGGTTTTTACCTACGGCAGGATGTTTTCCTTGACCTGGTGGACGTCAGTCTGCTACCCGAATGGGGGGGTATGATGGAAAATCAATAAAGCATCATGATGAATTGCGTTTGACTTGCACTAAGTTTTGAGATTGCAAGTGGGATTCCAGAGCTGGAAATTGCCTCATAGATTGCGTCGATTCTAATCTAACTATCTAAAACAGTACCCAGATCTCGCAAGGGCACCAAATAACCCGAAAACCTGCACATGTACTCCAAAAGCAGGCGTCGATCCAATAAAACATAGATGGGCAGTCATTATTGATGAACATGAAACCGACTATGACATAATGGGACTGACCTATGTATCCCCCAACGCCTTTCGAAATGCAGGATACGCCGGTTGAATGTGTGGAAAGTGGAAACAGTGAAGAATAGCATAAAGAAAAGGTAGGGTTGAGGTAATGGGGGTATTCTTTTCGAACACGATGGAAGACATAACGCTGGAAATTGTGTCAAAGAAAGAAATTTGAAAATTTGTAACAGTTGAAGGGCATTGACAGAGTGATTGTGTCCTGGTAGATTTAATCTGCAACGTCCTCGTCTTTGCCCGGGTACATGATGTCTTGTCTGATGACGGCACGAATGTGGTTGAAGAGAACGAAGAGCCACATGCAGACGATACCAATTGACATGGCAGAGCCAACGCCTAAGACGCCAGGGCTACCCAATGCGTTCCCCAGGGTAATAGTGGCCAATGTGAAACCGGTATTAGGAAAGACCATAGCCCACCAGCTAAGATGAAACGCTGTGGGCGGGGACCGGACGACGGCAACAAAGGCAATGAGGAAGAACCAGAGACTCAGAGCCCAGAGAAATACGCCCACGATGATTGCCATCAGCTCAAGGATCCGTGCGTCGTCGAGGGCGTTTGCATCGTTGATGATCTTGAATTCCTCGGGCAGGCCCTTGGCCATCCCCACTAGAGCCAACGCAGTGAAAGCCGGAGGCCCCACACAGATGAACATACCTGGTCTGTGTTCGCGGCAGGGAAGCCCTGACTCCATGAGCCGGCCGATATAGTGGGCGTACATCATGAAGCTGATCGAGAAGCCCAGTCCCTGGAAAGTAACACCGGCCGTGATGACGGGGATCGCGGACCGCGCAGGCTGGGCTTCGCCGATGACTGAGGCGATGGTACCGCTGAGCATGATGGGGAAGGCTGGTAAGATCCAAGATGGCATCATTGTCTGGAGGCCGTAGGAGTGGGCAGAGAAGACGAATGAATACTGGATTACGGCTGTGGCAAGGGTGCAACCACAGTAGACCCAGAAGAGGACTTCGAGCGCGACGAGATACGATCCTAAATCGTCGGAGCCGAAGTAACGATGCAAGCCAGTGATGATCGTTGCAATGGATAGCCAGAAGGTAGGGAAGAAGAGGCCCTCGCGAGGGTGGCGAAGGCTGTCAAGGAAACCGCCATGCAAAATGAATCTTGTCGCCATCAGAGAACAGACGAGAGCAAATAACAGAAGATTGATGATGTAAACCGCCAGCCCAATAACCTTCATCCCCTTGAAGGTGTATGGCTGACTAGCTATCAGAAGAGCCAGTCCACCGGTGCTCATAGTCAGGGTGTACCAGGCCCAAGTGAAATGCCGTAGGCGCTCACGAATGCTTAGTCGAGGGGGTCTCTTCATCTGATGCTCAAGGAAGCCAGAATCTGACTGTGACGATGTTGGTGGAACATGGTTGTTGAACATTGTGATTGCCAAGCAGGTCGGTCGCGATATGAATGCGAAAAGCGGATGGATGGAGGCAGAGAAGAATGAAAGATATGTCAAGCTTAGTGAAGATACGGTAGAACGAGGGACGTGAAAGAGGATCCTAGATTTGGGTGCAAGAGCTTGTATAGATGTGTCAATGCTCTTGACTCCACTACAGAAACCACAGACTGGGACAAAGTTGAATCTAAGTCAAGAGTTCGTAGCAGAGATAGTTAAAGATCAGCCAAAGTGCAATTGAAAGACTGAATGCACCATGCAGATGCTGAGAAAGGAAAGAAGAGAGAAGGGTTTAGAAGTGCCCTGGAGAAATGCAATTGATCCAATTGAGAACGGCGAGATATCGGTGGCGCAATAGATACTTTTATAACGGACGGAAGAGGCGCCATGCACATGTGAACGATTCACCATAAGGCATTGAAGGCTTCAGGTTGACAACCACCGCCATCCCATCTGTTGTGAAGGTTGATTATCAGCCAAGAGTCCAAGAATAGGAATGCAGGATACATCAACAGCGGTTGGCTTAGCGGATATCACGAAAGGACATCCTATAACCTCATTGCCCCAGGATGGGTCAGTAGTGTCCACCACGAATCGGAAAGATTAGGAAGGGAGCTCAGTCAGGCGCATATTTAGGGGGCGTAGCTGCAACTTGCCTCTTGCAAGGAGAGAAGGTTCACCGTGGAGAGTTTAGACAAGGAGAGGGTGAAAGGTAAAGCCTGATGCCTAAGGGGGATGAGCCATGATCTTCACGATAGTGGCCATTGACGAGACTTCGCCAAGAGAATGTTTGGTATGAGAGTGTGCCTGAAGCAAGATGAGCAAGATATGGCAGACAACAAATTCAACGTTCTCGCCATGCTGATCCAGATGACGCGTTATGGCGATAGTACGGGTACAGGTCACAGGCTCACAGCGAAGATAGTAGTGGCTTGTCACATCATCTAAAAAAGGAAGAGAGATAAGGCTCAATTTCCTATTTTGTCAGCTTTGTAGCTTCTTTTGCTTCTTACGGTATCGGGTTCTCTTCTTTGGCCGCTTTTCCTAGTTTAATCTTTCGACAGTGGATGTCATCATCCGAGTCTTGAGACCTTTCCAGACTTCAACGGCACGATCTCAAAGATTAGGAGTCGGGACTGGACCATGGCATGAAGAAAGCACCTCATCCGGGTCACCCTGGCTGCTGGCTTTCGGGCCGAAGCAGTTGAATTTTCAGAAGGGAGTGGAAAAGGGGAGCAGCCCGCTGAGCCCAGGAGTAGAAACATAGATCGTCGATAGGGGAGGCAACAGCTTTGAAGCCGATTAGACGGATCTGGGCGCTTGGGTGTTCTGTGGGCCATGATGGCCAGGATCCGAGCAAATCATAGATGGAGAAAGATCTCGGCACATTTGGAATACAGCAGATTACAGAAAACTTTCTCGAGTGAATGTCAACGTGCGCCGACGCATTCAATCTGGTTTGCCCAGGAGTCCATGGGCCAAGAGAGGGATCGACAGCGCATCATCGACGGGGAGACCCGCTGCCAAGCTTTGTGGTGGCTGTGGGAATGGAAGCAAGTCAGCGACTGAGAGTGAGAGATAAGGAAAGGGGAAGGGAGTGGTAATGAAGCCATTACTTGAAGGGATTAGGTCTCTGTGGGTTGTGTTTGCTTTTTCGAGATGCCCCTGGAGCTGGGATATTAGAGTAAATGCGTGGCATTTCTACGCCACAATCTGAGATCTATTCATAATCATTAAGAGATCCCTGGGTCCATAAGAATGTGGTTATCTGTGATTCTAGAGAAATCAAGAGAGATGAACTCAGAGCAGAGGGCGATGGAGTCAATGGAGATGCTGGAGCGAGGGGAAGGACAGTCCAGATTTCGTTTCTGGGAAGGGCATCTCTTGGCGTTGAGACAACCGACATCAGGGAGGCAGCAACAACCATTTCTGAGAATAATGTCCTCTATGAGGTAATGATGCATGATCTATCAGCATTATTGTCTAGTCTTGCCTGTTAGATGCACCCTCATACAGTGCCTAGATTCTACACATATCCTCAAGCCAAGAATGGCTGTGGTGGTAGATTTGAATTCAGGTGCATGGCCAGATAGTTGAGTGGATCTCTGAGCTGTGTAAGGATCATCTCCCTAATATAGAATTCGAAAGCGCAATGTGCGTGATCTACAGAGAGTCGCTTACCTTGAACCAGTGCCTTTCGTCTTTATTCCACCGCAACATCGGCGTGATACCTACCCACCAGACAGATCAAAGGTCCACTATCGCCAAGCACTCCAACTCCCTCAATGTCCAGTCCATGGAGACCAGATAATAGATATCAACAACGCCAAGTCGGAATATCCACTACGGAGTATATCAGTATGAATCAAGGCCAAGAGACGGAAAGAGGCTTCGTCTCCACACACCCCCCAGTCTCAACGAAGCGAATCCACTTCGACGCCGACAGGGTATATCAGTCATATCTATCCGTTATCTAGTGGGCTCGACGTCTATGTACAGAAGGTGTGATTCAGATGTTGATCTCGCAGTGGAGGGTTGGCATGATGCTCTAGCCATACAGACGCGATGAATCAAGGACGTGATTGTACAGTAGCCACGGGGGGAGATTACTTGGTACGTCCATATGAAAATGCCACACCTGTTGTGCCTGCGCAATGAACACAGTGGTATATTGATGAGATGAATCAGAAATAGACAGTTAATCATAATGATCATTTCAGTCATGGACAAAGTGAATGAGGCGTAGAAAAGCAATGATAGAAAGCGAGGACGTAAGGCAGGATATACCAGAAAGGCTAGGGGAATGGGTCATCATCACTTATGTGGTCAATTCGGACGAAACGGTGTTCCCGTGTTCAAATCAAGACAAGACTCCGAGCGGTATGTTTCAGATTTGTTCCATTGCTCGTCGTTCCATATACTCCCGTTCCATGCATAGATACGTGGTTCAGAAAAGGATATAAGTGGATATACCGAATTGGAATAAAGCGAATATTCGATGACTGACAAGAGGAGAGAAAGCGAGGGCCGAATTGAACAGAAACCCAACACGGGACACAAACAAAACGTCTGATAGGATGAGCAGAAGGCAAGGGAAGTGCAAGTGAAACCCGAAAGTCACATCATGCGGAAGACCAAATCGGAGGCAAGTTCGGTTGTCGAGTCCAAGAGCGCACGGAAACCACGGCTCGAAGGTCGATCTGCCTTTGGTGGCCGTTTGTCCACTGGCGAAGCCAATGGCGAGCTTACCATACTCTCCATCGTAGGACAGTATTCTGCAAGCTCTCTCACTTTGCACGCTGCGTAGTGTATAACGAGTTTCCGAAGCTCGTTGTCGCGAAGCTGAGTGGCCGAGGTTGGTGAAATCGGCTCCAGACGGGTCGTCTTGGTGTACGTGTAGTGGAGGAGGTCAAGGACCATTCTGGCCTTGGTTGCGGTCAGAGCAGCTCGCTCTTCCTCCCGTTCGCCGTCTTTCGGACCAGGAAACGCCAGACACAGCAGATCCGCGTGAAGCTTTCGGAGACACAATTGCGCCAGAGCGGGAATCAAGTATCGTACGGCGAAAACGTACAGCTTGGCGTGAAAGACAAGATACGGAAGATCCGACTTGCTTGAATCTGAGTGTGTTGACACCGGGGTGAGAGGTCTTGTCCCGTAGGTGGAGGGATGATCAAGATAGTCCAAGCTCATAAACTTATCCCAGAGACCAACTCCAGTTGGGCGGCGCGAAGGAAATAGCTGCTTGGCGAAAGAGGTGTCAATGAACGCTTTCATCTGGCTTCGGGGAGACACAACCTCTTCCTTGATTTCGTCCTCCTTTTGACTGTTGTGTTCGAGTTTCACGTTCTCATTGAGGGTATCCTTGACCTTAGGAGGAACAGATGTTGCTCGATCCCAACTTTCAGTATCCAAGGACGGTGCAGCAGGGTCAATGGACTCATCCGCTCCCGTGGGCTCAGGAACTTCCACAACCTCCGCCACCTCACCCACTTTGATATGTTCGGTCACTGGGATCGGATCATCCAGCATTGCAGTAGTCTCGACTGTGAGGTTGTTATCAATCTGGTCATTGGGATTTCCAGGAGGAGGGGTTGTTGGAGGAGTCAGGTTAGACATAGGTTCCTCCGCTGTCGCACCACCTTTCTGTTTCTTCTTGTCCTTCCTGGTCTTCTTCGATTTTTTGCCCTTCGAGGGTGCGGCGTCCTCACCAAAGCCCCAGGGATCTCCCTCTTCGGCAGCAGGAGTAGCAAGAGGCTGCTCACTTGGCTCGTCACAGGCTGATGCAGGATCCTGTGGCGGATCATCGGGTGCCGCGACATCCTCTCCCACGTCGTTGTTGCCATCCTTCACGCTCTCGCCCTCCTTCTGCGGCTGCGTCAACTCCTCATTCCTGGCGGTCTCCGAGTCCCCACGATCTGGCACATCCAGGTCCCTGTTCGGAAGCTTGAGAGACGGGGGAGGAGATGGTGCTGGGGGAGGAACGGTCGAGGCGAAGGGATTCGAGAACATCCCCTTGAACGCCGTATCATCGATGGCGTCGTCCTTCTCATCTTCGCGAGATCCCGGTGGGGGCACACTGTAATCGCCCGTGTAGGCATATTCGCAAAAAGCCACAAAGGTCTCGACATCCTCTTCCTCCAAGACGGCAATATGATGCTTGGACTCCCTGGTGAGGCCACTGTTCATGAGATGATCGAGCGGTTTCGAGACATGACGGGCAAGGCCCGATTGGATCGTCAATTTGGTATGACTAGGCCCAACAAGGAACGTGAATGGCGGTGAATGGACGATGCTGTATCCAGGAGAGTGATTCGAAGAGTCAGTGGCAACACTGTCGTGGTTGGCATGATGACTTGAATGCTTGTAGCTTCTTTGATCATTCGTTGAATGTTTGGAACAAAATCAAAATGAAGGCGCAGCAAAAGCAGGATGCTGCAAACAAAGATATCCCCCACCAACTTGATTGATGAAGATGTTCAACTCACCTGCTCCAGTCTGGACAAGACTCCATTGACGATATTGTCCTTTAGAAAGTCCCTCCACTTTTTCTTCCAACAAACGGACAGTACGATCTCAACCGAGACAAAAAGGTGAGCAAGAACAGAGCAAACGCAATTGTCTTCTGTTCCCCTGGCGCTGAATGCGTTGCAATAAATACTAACAGCCCGAAATAGTCATCGTTGTCTCTTTCAAATTCAGGGCCGAGTCCACGCGAGCTCAAGTTTCCCACCCTGCGCCCTCCTGTCCTTACCATCTGCAGCCTCATTTCCCTCTATCTAAGCTAAAATGAGATGCTACAAGCGCGAAACCGACCCAGATGGGTCATGTTAGTCTGCTACGTGTGCGTTCATGACGGGATTTAGGGCGGTTTGACCGCTAACTTCTTTCTCCAACGGTGCCAACAGGAAACACACCCCCATAAACCATTCTCCTTATCACGGCAGCTCGCAGATCGGGCATTGGCAGACACCGTAAAACACACTGTCCTGCTGTGTGCACCGCTAAGCGAAAGACGAGCCTTAACTTGCCATTGATAACATTAGCATCGCGTAATTCGCGGGATAGCTCAACATCTGCGACCCGTTTAAGACCCTGTGCAGCTAGGCTAGCTGTTCGTCTCATCAACTCTCGAGAACGATTCTTAGTGTTTCCAGACAACGCAGCAGAACCAAGGCAAATGCAGACGGCAACAGTAACACGCGCAAGTCACGCGGGTAATAGATAGTTGCAGCTCTTTTCTTCCTTTCGATCCGAAGGGGGGCTTGGAAGTGACCAAGCAAGATCGTTCGAGAGTGCTTTGAGTAGCATTAGTCCGGTCAGTTAGCGTTGACTCCTGCGTCGGGGATGCTAATGCCGATTTCCTTGAATGGCTTAGGTTGTTGCCCGATGACAGGATTCATGTCGAGTGCCAGCCTCTTGATGACCCAACTGCGGGTCGTTTCGTGGACGGAGCTAGTTCGATACTCCAGAGAATGGTTGAAATGTCAATGCCATGAACGAGAGAAGGATATTATTGACTATCACGATAATATACATGTTAGCAATCATTGGGGAGTGCATTTTCCTGATCTGGCGGTGAGATTGGTGGACTTCGAGTACCTTCATGGATAGTGAGAATATGGCTGGGCTCGCTGCAGCTGGTTTCATGCTACGAGCCTCGGTCTAAACAGTCTCGAGTCCTGGTAGGGAATACTTGATCAACTAGACGGTGCAGCTCGTCGAATGATATTCAAAGTCGATCTTCATGAGAACACACGGTGCTCTTACTGCTGGCAGTGTATGTCTTGAAATGAGCGGCATGTCTCAGTTGTGCTCTATATCAAATAGATACAGTGCTTGCTTCGTGTGTAGTGTTAAACTATGCGTCTAAGATAAAGATGTCCTTCAGACACGGCTCGACGAAGGACACAATGCACTTCCAGAATCTGTACATCTCGTCGGACTGCGAGTGTAAAACCCGACCTGCCTCGACCTCGATAAATCAATGAATCAGTCGAATTTCCGTCCTGCCCGGCTCCCACTCCCGTAAACCTTCACCGACACTGTACCAGAACCTTAACCGCACACACTCCTGACGCGCAGCCTCAATATCACCCCGTTCAAAGGCTTGCGCCAAGCTCTTCACACACCCAGCCACCCGCGCGTCATTCTCCTTCTTCAGTGCAGCGATGGTTCCCTCAGCCTCCGGCCCTGCACCAACCTCTTCAATTGTCTCCTGAACCTCCATGACCTCCATCAGTGTCTCCGGGTCGAGCGCATGCTTGGTCGCTCCGTCTTCCGCCGTCACGTCGATTCCATGCATCTCGCGCAGAAGATACTGCGCCCGTTGCAGAGGGTCCGCTAGTGTGCGATATGCTTCGTTGATCCGGGCGGACAGCGCTTCAGCCCGCTGCTTCGCCGGCCCTGGCGGGAACTTGTCAGGATGTATCACATTCTGCAGTCGGAGGAACTCGCGTTTCAAGGCGCTCAGAGGAATATCAAATGATGATGCGGGGGGTGGCCCTGCCGGCAAGGTCTCGCGGAAAATGGTATAGTGGTTTGTAAGGTCTGGGAGGTTGCTATCCCGATTGCTCGTCTCGGTGGCTGTTGTAGTTGAGGAGGTCGCGGCAAGTCGACGGGTTTGCAACGTCAGACCGGGACCTCGCGCAGGTCGCGCAGCCCAGACTCTCGGTCTCAGTTGGCAGAAAATACAGGCATCTGTTGAAAATAACGAGCGCCTTGCCTCCGTTCGTGACGGTGGAACTGCGGAGAGCAGCGGTCGCTGTGCCAGCCGCTGCATGCGAAATGACGCCGCCATCTTCTCCTTTAGGAGGTATGTCTGTTGGCTGATAAAACCAAGAATCTGTTTCTTTGGCGCAGCCTAGCGATTAGATCAGGAATGGTAGAAACAGATTTTCCTCTTCCATCTGCAAATTGCTTCGAGGGCTTTCTTCTCAGTCAAGCAATAATGAGATAGTTAGTTAATAACTAACCAATACCACTTAGTCAGCATCGGACTTCGGCGATAGTTAGATCGCCCTTTACGTCATATATCCCGAAAAAGCATTGTAAGGCTTCATAATCGATACACATTTCTCTATTATCGATCCGATCTATACATTTCAAATGAGTGTACATATGAGGGAAGCTACGGCCCCTTGGTGCCTAAGCTGGAACATTTATATATCCAAGTTTGTGGCAAATGGTAGTACTCTGTTCTCCGAGTGACTGGAATCTCGAGATGGAGCATTGACTTTTTATCAAGCCATGTTCGACACAGCCCCTATGTTAGGCAGCGTAAGGCTTTCTTGTAGGTGTATAAGTCTGCGAGCGGAAATGTGGCCGCATTGTCGATTGTACTTATTTAGTCCTGATCAGTGCTATAGATCTCACTCTATGCCCCAGAGTTTCACAGTCCGATCGTGCCCGCAACTGGCAATCCACTGGGCATCATCACTGATGTCTGTACTGAGGACATTGCCTGCATGGCCACTCAAGGTTTTGACCAAAGACCAATCATCCGCGCTGAAGATATTGACGTTCTTGTCGAACCCACTGCTGACAAAGAATGTGCCTGACTTCTTTGGTTGAACGGGAGTTGCTGGCGTTGACTGTTCACTCGTTGTGAGCGTCGGGGTGATGTTAATATCCATTCGCCCGTTGCCTTCAGCGGATGGCAGATACGATGCAGCCGACTCAGTGCCCTTGTACCACCGTACATCCGACACGACACTTTTATGTGCGCCGATCCCACCTATGTTGCGCACTTGTCGGAGGTCCCAACACTTGATCCAGCCATCACCCGACCCTGACAAGACACGGTATCCGTCTACGCCCCAGTCGAGACCGTAGATTTCTCGGATATGACCCTCAAGGATCATCACCGTTCGGCCCGTCCGCAGATCCCAGATTCGCCCAATGCTGTCCAGACCGCCGCTAGCCAGCAGAGAACCGTCATTGTTAAACGCCACTGTGTAAACCTCTCGTGAATGACCCTCCTGAAGGAGGAGTTCGACGGTTGTCTCAACGTCCCACAAGCGCCATGTTGTGTCGAATGAAGCAGAGGCGACGTACCGCCCCGAAGGATGAAATTCTGTCCGACATACACGGCCGCTGTGGCCTAACAGTGTAGCTAGTGGCGTATCTTTATCCAGAGACCACAGCGCCACATTGCCCTCGCCGCCTCCGGAGACAAGGTTAACACTCGACTCGGAAACATTCGACGTGGGAAGCGTCGCACCGGGGAACCACGCCAATCCACCGACACGATCCGTATGTCCCTTGAGATTTGACTTCTCCTCCAGATTTGGTACGGTGAGCAAGCGGATATCGCCACCCCAATTGCCCGCAGCGATCGTCTTTCCATCTGGCGCAAAGCGACAGATGCTCACAGGGCGATCGCCCGCAATCTGGGACCCGTAAAGGTCGAACCCTTGCAACTTCTCTTTGATCGCTTTGCGGTGCTTGATATGTGTTCTCAACGGAATTGTAGATTCCTCTCGTAAGCGCGCTACTCGTGCTTTCGCTCGAGGTAGGGAATAGCGGGCGATGGCTTTTCGTGCGGTGAGTAGCTCCTCGGAGCCTTCTGTGTAGAATTCTTCCTGTTGTTCTGCTTCCTCTTCCGCCTCTTCAGCTTCTTCTGTCACCCCTCGCATGGATATATCGCCTTCCGCGGCCGCCGCTTCCTGCTTCTCGGCCAGATCGGTCAGAAGCTCACGCAGTCGGTCTCTCCGGTCCACTGGGCCTTCTCCGAAAAGAGTAATCGGTTCTCCGAGCTCTCGCAATCGTGCGCGCACACGGTTATCATCCGTCGGAACCGCCATGGCGGCTGCTCGTCGCTTGCGTTCGAATTGGGATAGGATGGCAGATGCTCGTTCAGCGGGTATGCCCGCTGCAGCAGAGGGAAGATCATAGTCGCGGTCGATGGCTGCGATTGACATGGAAGAGTCAGCCAAAGGACTAAATAATCGGATCGCAATCCAAAAGTCAGATCGAGAGAAGCTATTACTTACGAATATTTGCCAGGTCAATGCCCATTTCCGTATCCTAGTCAACCCAAACATCATTGGACGTCAGTGGAAAGATTCCTGAAGAGAGCCTTTGATTTCATATTGTGAACATGGGTAGATCAATATGTATGTAGGACGTATATAAAAGAGATGAGAGCCAGAGAAAAGAGGAAAACTTCATACCTCGGACTCCTCCACGTACGCCTGTCTTGAAGGGTGCATCATCTTGGGCGCTGAGAACGAGGATGCTGGCGGGGAGCTTGAGACAAAACGAGATAGATTACCCTCGAATCAGAGGGATGACTTGATTATTGGGTCGTCTTTTCGCCTGAGATGTGATCGCAGAGAGTAGCAAGAGATTTTCCGATGTGTATTCCTCAGTCTGAAGAGCCTCCGGTTGCTCTTATGGTGACACCGCAGTTCTAGCGGGAGCCAGGAAAGAAAACGAGAAGCGAAGACGACGTTATCCATAGTCATACGTATAGGGCGGATTGACCGTTTTCTTATCACCACAAGTCGTTCTTCTTAGAGAATCTTTCTCTACATCTAACCTTGCAAGAAGCTTGAATTCTCATTATTATTCTTGCAAAGATCGACACCTACACTGAACCAATTCATCGAGAATGAGCTACATCCAGGCTGCTACTGGTAAGTCAATTTTTTTTCTCCTGCACCAGCTATCTACCTTTCGCCTCCACCTTCACGAACTCCAGACCGCGAGTCATCAATGAGTCCTCGTAAAACTAATAGCTATGTCTGGAAGAAGTGTCCGTACCGAAAGCATATCACCAAAGGCCATCTCGATGTCAAACTCCCTTATCTACCCCTTGAGGCGGCCGATGACGCCGGGCGGTCGGCAATCCCGTCTGTCATGGAAAGGAAAATTCAGCAAGAATGATTATCCACGATCTTCCCAGAAACTCTGGCTTGATCGAGTGATCGGCCCAGTGGCTTTTCTATCCAGCGAGAAATCTCCATCTGAATGGACAAAAGGTAGAGAACGTGATCATTGCTCCCTCTACCCCCTCCTATCGTTCACTACCTGTCAATCCGGATCAAAGCGGTTGATCCGTGACGGTCGGCTGCTTGTTCGGTATCATTGCCAGCCATTTTTCCACCATCCTTCAAATGGTCCAGCAGACAATATCGTTGTCTCGAATTATCCTGCTGGAGGGTCTTGGTATTGTGAGGGACAGGGCCCTCCGGTGACGATCTTGCTCTTTGCCGATGATCCCGCTGGCCTCCTCCGGTAGAGCCTGCAGTTCAGCCTGCAGTAGCCTACAAACCGTCGCAAGAGACAGATTAGTCTCATTTGCGACATCCAGCGCAACATGGCCTCGACACTTGCCAGCCTACCTCTCCTCCCTTAGAAGCCAGCGACTATCTCCATCCTACCTCTCGCGATCTTCACGAAGGACTTTTCATGCAACGTCATCGTTCAGTTCCGATGCTCCGCGCATCTCCTACCGTGTCGCGGCCTCGTCCTCATCCAAGAACCGCCGTTTCCACCCTGCCACCAATTTCCACAATTTCAGACCTGAGCTCCATGATGCCATCGGCGTGGTCACAGAAGAAATTGACCCGGCCACCAGACGCAAGAGGAGACCAGACAGTGGGGAAGATGCTTTCTTTGTGAGCAGCGTTGGAAGTCGAGGTTCCGGCGCCATCGCCTTCGCGGTTGCGGACGGAGTTGGAGGCTGGGTCGAGTCCAAGGTCGACCCAGCGAACTTCTCCCACGCTCTGTGCCGCTATATGGCGCTAGAGGCCCTATCTTGGGACTCGTCGACCGACAAATTGCGGGCCAAGCACCTGCTTCAGTCAGGATACGACCAGGTGGTGGCGGACAGGGCGATCCGGGCCGGTGGGAGTACTGCATCGGTCGGGGTGGGCTTGGAGGATGGTCAGGTCGAGTTGGCCAATTTAGGTGACTCGGGCTCGATGCTCCTCCGTCTTGCTGCTGTGCATCATTATTCGGTCCCACAGACTCATGGCTTCAACACACCATATCAACTGAGCATCATCCCCCCCAAAATGCGTGCTCAGGCCTCCATATTCGGCGGCGCTTTCTTGGAGGACTTCCCGCGCGATGCGGCCGTCACAAACCTCCATATGCAGCACGGCGACGTGCTCATGCTAGCGACCGATGGGGTCTTCGATAACCTGAACAATCAAGACATCTTGAAGCTCATCACCAGCCGGATGATTCTGACCGGGGCATGGACCGCCACGCCCGAATTGGGAATCAAGGTATCGGATGATCTCGGAGCCCTGACGGGCCCGGACGGCCTCGCTTCTCTACTTCCCTCGCCATCCTCGTCTTTCGACACTTGCACGTCAGGCAGTGTCGCGCCATCCAGCCAAAATCTTCAGCACCATACGCTCCAGTCTCTACTCGCTTCCACAGTCGCCGGGGAAGCCAAACGGGCCAGCATGGATGCCCGACGGGACGGCCCATTCGCCAAAGAAGCCCAGCGCTATTATCCCGGCGACTGGTACCGAGGCGGAAAGGTGGACGACATCTGCGTCTTGATCATTGTGGCTGTTGAAGAGGGTCGGGGTCATGAATCTCGCTAGACGCCTGCGTTTGTTTAATTGTCAACTCACAATCCGCGTTTTGGCGCTGTGGCTACCTATGTATAGAGCATGCTGGGTCTACCAGAGTGTCACTTTTTGCAGATAGTCCCGGAGGCGCTGTATCATATGTTATTATCTGACTATACAAGCTCAAAGTATGATAGAATAGGATACCATATATTTATCACGTTATCATCATGATGTTCCAGACGATATGCTCGAGATGAATTGAAAATGAATAACTTTGTATTGTGCAAGGACTAAATCTCAACCCAAAACAAGAAGCTCGCGAAACTAATTAACATTCTGAGAGACGTAATACAACAAAAGAGACCCGAGAAAGCCCCATCACATCGAAAGGTTTGGAGGAAACTCCAAGATACAGAGAATCTGCGAGCCCTGCTTATTCTCTTCCTCATCTTGTTTAAATGCACTTAATACCCTTTCACGGTGTGTCCCACCATGCCACACAGCATTGCTTTCAGACCTTGGTGATCCAGTTCCGGCTGCAGTCTTGTCACTGTCGCTGACCAGTGAAAAAGAAACATAAACATGGGATAGACAGAGACAATAAGGGACAAGACCCCTTGGTAGGAAAAAGAGTTCAAAGGCTTTTGAGTACTCAAATCTCCACTCATCGATCGGCGGCGGAAAAGGGACATAGGAGATGCCAGTTGAAAATCCAGCCGGGCAGAAAATGAGCAGGAATGCCGAAACTGAAGGGACAGGCACATTATTGTAAGCATAAGAAGTACAAGTGGGAGAGAGAAACCGGTGAACGCATACGGACAATCATGTATGCCTATGTTCACGCTGCTGCTTCAACGGATTTCTCTTCTGCCTTCTCTTCCGCCGGTTTCTCCTCGGTCGCATCTTCAGTCTTGGGGACTTCTTTCTCGGAGGCTTCCTTGGCCAGTTCTGGAGCTTCTGCCTTCTCCGAAGCATCAGCGTCAACGTCAGGCATTGGCTCCTCTTGTGATTCCGCCGTATCTTGCTTGGCTGGCTTTATCTCTTCTTCCTCCTTCTCCCCTTCGGTTTCAGTCTTAGCTGGCGTTTCAACGCTGTCCTCCTTGTGAGCTCCATTAGCCTTTGGCTCGGCCGGTGTTGCCGTGGTATCGGCATCGACCACATTCTTCCACTTGGACAAGATGTTGATAGCACGGCGACGGAACTGAAACTCCTCTTCTCGGGGAATAGAGTCGAGCTTCACAATCATTTTGAGAACCTTGTTGATTTTGGTCGCACGGATGATCGAGACCTCAAGATCATCAGCCACCTTCTCAAGTTTAGTGAAGTAGCTAGACATGGTAGTCATTTCCTCCTCCTTGGGAGGTTGATCGCGCGAGATAAAGCCCTTCTGGAGTCTGTGGCGAACAAAAAGAACTGCCTCTAAGTTAGTCTGGCTTCATGCTGAATCTTTGGATAGTGTCGACCCTACCTTCTTTCTGTTTTCTTTCCTTGGCTTCCCCTTGGTCGACTGGCTTTTCTGGCTCCTTCAACGCAGCGCCAGCGTCCTCCTCGCCCTCGTCACTGACGGCACCTTTGCCAGTCTTCTTGCTGCTGGCTGTCTGTTTAGCCTTGCTGGCGCCAGTGGTCTTCTTCTCAGTCTCGCTTGTCGGGGTCTTGGGGGTTGTCAACTTCAACTTGGTGGCAGTCTTGGGTGTCTTCGCAGGCTATAACAAAAGAAAGGCATGTTAGTCCGGCGACCGCGTAATACTGACAGTGAAGAACAAAGATAATGGAGAGTCACAATTTACCTTCTCAGCTTCGCCGTCGGTTTCTGCGTCCTTCTTGCGCTTCTTAGAGATCTTTGGCTTCTTGGGCTCGTCCGCATCTTCCATGTCAATATCCTCCAGGTCATCAACAATGTCCATGCTCTTCCGCTTGTTCTTCTTGGCTTCCCTTTCAGCCTTGGCCGCTTCCTTGGCGGCCTGCTGGGCTTCCTGCTCTTCCAACTCCTGCTGCAATGCGCGCTGATGATCGGCCAGCAGACCCTTGAAGTATTGCAAATCGTGACCTTCTGCGGCTACCGCATAAGCAGCAAGAAGTTGTTTCGATTTGCCCTTCTCCGGTACGTCTTTGCAAGAGGCGGGATCGAGCGGAGTCAGGTCTGTGTTGGGAATCCACGCGCTGCCGTTCATTAGCCGCTCACTCCATGCAGATAGATAAGTTCGACATGGCACTTACAACTCGTTTGTTTCGAAGAACATCACAGGAAAAGTTCTCTCATGAGCTCTCTTGCCTCCGTCTGCATAGTCTTCTCTGTAGGTGCCATCGGCCCGCATAGCGGTCACTGGACGCGTGCTCAGTAGAGTTTGAGGAAGAATCTCCTCGTCACAGATAATAGATGGCCAGGGAGGGAAGCTCCGCAGGCGCGCGAGATAGTACTCGCCAGGCTTCGCGTGCAAATTTGTGATGCGGGCTTGCGACTTCTTCCTGTTCAGCTTGGACTTGTGTTCGGGGACACCGCTAGTGGATTTGCGCTTCGAGCCTCCAGACTTCTTGGAAGATGGAGGAGGTTCTTGAGCCTCGGGCGCTGTGGTGGCCTCAGACTCTGCAGGCGCGGCGGCGGTCGCTTCCGGTTCCTTCGCGTCATTAGCCTCTACAGGTGCCCCGGGCTCTCCAGCCGGAGCATCAGTGGCTTCTTTCTTCTCTTCAGATGCGCCAGCATCGCCTAATCGACAACGGAAGCATGGTTAGTGATTCAAATATCAGATGAAAAGCGAAACTGAGGGACACCTTGCCCCTTCCCAAGGAAACTGGGAAGAGCGCAGGTCGCAACAATGGTACTGAGAAATTCTTACCGGATGTCTTTTCCTCGGTGCCATTGACCTTCTCTGTTTCTTGCTCCTTGGACGTCTCTGGAGCCGATTCCACGGGCGCAGTTTTGGCCTCAGCAGAAGGAGCGCGCTCGACAGGCGCCTCGCCAGCTTCGGCAGCAGTCCTGGAGACAGCAGGGGTGTCCTCAGCCATAGTGTGCGACAAAGCTCAATTAAATTCAGAGCAACGATGGACTGAAATGCAGTTGAAGGAAGCCGAAGCTTTCAATGAAGGAGGTGGTGGGAGGATGAAGGTGAATTTGAGTCGGGAGATGTGGTGGAGAAGGTCGCGACGCCGGGAGGCGGGAAGTTCGAACAACGCGTGCGCTTGGAGGAAAAAGGGAGTCTGCCAATCCACAAATGACGCAACGGACGAGCTCAACACAACAACGGTCGAGATCAAAAGATCAAAGATAATCACAGCCTTCAGATAAATTCTGATCTGCTGTTCGTATCGTAGTACGTTAGAAAGTCGTAGACTAGCCCACAAGACGAAAGCTGATCAGGCAGGCCACCAGGTTGCGCAATGACAAGCCCGACCGAGTGTGCAAAAGACGCGACGGAGAGATACGAAATCAGCTTGGTGCGAATCTCTTAGTGATGGATAATTTGGGACCTTCTCAGATCAATAATGTGAGGTAGTTGGGTGAATGATCAAGATCGCGTCGCAAGGAAGAAAGGACGCAGCTTCAAGAACACTTGACTGTTGGTGATCGCCTAGCGTTTTCTCCGAAACGCGGAGAAGCACTGTAACTGAAAAGGTCGCAGCAGAAGGACCACGAGAGCTTTTCTGTCCAAACTGCGATATCACTCTCTCTGCGCGTAGTATCAATTGTCGCAGAGAAATCGACAATAGCCGCAGATGCCTCAAGGCAGGTAAACGCTCCTCTTCCCGAAGTCAACTGAGACTCGCTCAAGACAGGAGACGAAGCGATCAAATGTATGATAGCGATAGATTCAGTACAGCTACAATCGTCCGGCCCGGCGACATTGTTAGCAGGAGCAACTACTGCGCAGGAGAGGAGCGTGATGACTGACCTTGTTGACACTAGGTACCTATAGACCCGAACTCGCTCAAGGCGCCAATAGCCGAGAGTATACCGGGGGGGTTGCGAGTCAAGCACGGAAGCTTGAAAAGTACAGAGACTCTTAATTACCCACAGGTCGAATACACTTCTATGATTCAAGGATCTCCTAGGGTCGCAAGATAGGAACAATGGAGTCAGTCAGAGAGAGTGCTGGGAGGAAAGAAATATCGATGATGGGGGAGAGAGGCGGGAGAAATTGAAAGTGACGGCACCCCGCGAAACTTCACGGTGTTTCAAGTAACACTGGAAATGAATCAATCTCGTACTCGCTGATCTCTTCAGGCTCCTGAATTATGGCCTTCTGGGCTTGCATAGAAACAATTGGGTTGAATAGCCTATTCATTTGGCCTTTTCATGTGCTTTGCTCAACATTTGTTCAACACCCAGTATTCACCATCCGTGTCCATTCATCTACAACTATGGTCATACTCAGCCATACAATATCATCCTGCCGACCTTTTTTCCGGGCTTTTGTTTTCTTCCATGGGCATACAAGCAGCATCATTTCAGCTACTATGATAGATGGTCCGTATCGACCTCGAATGATGCTTATGAGATTATCAACATGAAAACTGGGTGGTCTGCCATGCTGGAGCAGGAGTAGGATATTCATCGGATCAGAATGCCCTAGTTCATATTCTATATGTACACATTTCATGTGGTGTAATGATATCATGGGGAAAGATACAGTCGTCATTAGTCCGCCCAAGAGGGTCATAAGTCGCATTGTGATCATGGTGTAAGGGCAGGCTTCCTGGAACAATAAACTGAGATGAGGTCTGGAGAGCCCCACAATATTGATAGATAAAGGATGGAGAAAAAAGGATATCGTAAGGTTCGGTTTCAAGTGAAGGTTTGGCATGATGCATCAGAGAGCAGTTCATCGGTAAAGAGTAGGACAATTCGGTACTTCGTCATCGTCCCAGTAGTCGGTACCGTCCATCGCTATCGGCTCCGGCTTATGAATGCGAACTAGCCAGAGGAAATAGTCCTCCAATGGCAGAAGGTTCAATAAGATGCCATTGAACCGCCATCCTAGGACGCAGACAACTGTCCCTGCAACGGCGTCCAGAATGAAGTGGTTGGCCGTGGC